AAAATATTGATTTTTACAATTTTGCTAGTGCTTTAAAAGGCTTTATAGAACAGCAGATTTTTAGAGATGTTCTATTTATCATCCCAGAGATCACATGCTTATCTCATCTTTTATTTTTTACGTTTGTTCTGCAAAATTAATACAGAATAATAGTTTGAATACCACTAATACAATTCTCCAGATAATACCTTTTTATTAATTTAATTACATGAGGATTATATTTAAATAACTTTAAATAAATCAAGCATATCAGTTTAAAATTGAAGAATATACCTTTAGCAAATACACAAGGACTTTCATGAGTAATCATTATCTCATTATTTCTTATGAAAACCTGGACAGTTTTACTACTTTTATTTTGAATATAAAAAAATCAAAACAACATTAATAAAAAAGCAAGAAAAATAACCCACCTCAAACCCACTGTTATTCTGACAACTCAAATTTCCATTTTTTCTTACATTCTTACATCCTTATCCACAAATATCATTTTTATATAGTTGTGATTATAGGAAAAGTTTCATTTTATACGTTTCAATCAATGAACCTTATAAGAATTTACCATGTTTGCTAAACACTCTTGCTAATTATAGATTTAATGAATAACTGATATTTTATCCAGGATGTATATCATAATCTACTACATGTATTATTGGACATTGTTTTAAATAGTACTAAAATGAGCAAATTCGTGCATTTATATATATTTTTTCATTGGCTTACATTCTTTGCCTAAATTTATAGGATGATAGCTATCAGGTGAAAGAGTAAGAACATTTATATGTTTCTACATAATTATTGCATTATTTTTTTAATTTTTTAAATTTTATTTTTATTTTTTTAAGCAAAGACTATTTTTAAGAAAAGTATGTTTTCTCATTTTCTATTCTTGGCATAAGTTTTAATTCTTCCCAAAACCTCCTGAACCCCTTTCAGTGTCATCCAAAACCTGAACTTCCTCTATTTCTGGATCAAAAATCCGTTCACAAATGAGCTGTGCAATTCGATCACCCTTTTTGACTTCAAACTTTTTTTTGCCAAAATTAAATAGTACAACACCCACATTTCGTCTATAATCTTCATCTATGACGCCAGCTCCTACATCTATGAAGTGTTTCGCAGCCCAGCCAGAACGGGGAGCTACTCTTCCACAGCACCCAGAAGGAAGAGCTATCTGAATGTCTATTTTCACAAGGGCTTTTTCCATAGGTGGTACTGTATAATCATAGGCACTGTACAGGTCGTAGCCCGAGCCCCGCGCGGACTCCTTACTCGGGGTGGTGGCGTGCTCAGAGAGCCGGACAAAGCCGGGCCGCTTGGCGTCCTCCGCAGGCGGAGGCCGCTTTCTGGGGGTGATGGTGGGTGTCGCTTCAGAGCAGGGCATGGCAGAGCAGAACGAGAGAAAAGAGGGAACAAGTGGACTCCTTGCATTATATATTTTTTAAAGTAATATCAATTCGAAGGCCAAGTTTCAATTAATTACTCTAACAGTTTCAAACCATTATCATTATGTATTCTAGTGTGTGGACTAATTTAATGTATATGTAACATGATACTCAAAGAAGTGGTTTTTGATTTTATGATTGCTAGGGAGATCACATATATGTTTGTGCAATCTGTTTGAGATGATTTTTGCTGTCATGGTCATTAAAAGCTGGTTTAGATAATTAGATGAAAATATTTTTATATATGTGTTCTTTTATGTAAACCCAGGTTTCCATCTGACACTGTAAATACTCAGTTGAAAGGATATACTTTAACATTTCTTAGAGGCAGGTCTGCTTACTCTGAATTCTTTCTGCTTTTATATATCTGAAAGTGTCTATTTCACCTTTGTTTTTAATATGTATTTTTGCTGTGTGAAGAATTCTAGATGACAGTATTTTTCTTTCAGTATTTTAAACGTTTTCCTTCTCACTTACATTGCTTCTGATTGAAAAAAATCTCATGTCAAGCTTTTTTAATTTTTATTTGTCGTGTCAAACTTTTCTTTCTTACTCTGAATGTAATCTGTCTTTATTCTCTGGCTGCTTTTAAGATTTTTATACCACTGGTTTTAGGCAATTTGATTATGATGTGCTTTTGGTGTAGTTTCTTTTTATATCTGTATTTTGGGTTGGTTAAACTTCTGGGAAATGAGCTATTACAGTTTTCATCATTTTTTGAAAAGTTTCAGCCATATTTCTTTAAATATTTTTCTGTATCCTCCATCCCTTATCTTCTTCAGGGAATCTAATTACATGCATTTATGGCTACTTGAAGTAGTCCTGCAGTTCACTGATGCTTTGTTCTTATATACATATGTGTGTGTGTATATATATGTATATATATACACATACATATATATATATTCTATCTATCTATATCTATATATAATTATTTTAGATAGTTTCTTCCTATGCCCATTTTATAGATAATGTTAAGGGGAAGTAATTCAAGGTCACTGAAAAAGACAGGATTACAACCCATATATCTTGGGTCTTACTCCAGTGTTTTTTATTTTTACTTTTTTAACTTAAATCAAGATTTAGGCTTACAGAATCAAAATATCATTCAGACAAAAATAAAATTTAAACAAGTTTCTTTGTGTCATATATACAAAAGCATATTTCTTACTCTTCAAACTGAATTTTTGGTGTTGGGAAGTTATAACTGGACACATAAACTTAAGCCCTGTCTTAATTATTTACTGTTAGGCTTTTATGTGGCAGCACTCAAACATAATTCTTGTAGAAAACTTAAAGCATCTCATTTCCACACCCTAATCTTACAGATAGTAGAGCGGCTTCACTCTGTATGACCCAAAATAATAGAAATCTGGTGTTTTATCTGTTAAGAGACCATGTACAAAGTTGTGACCAAAAAAAAAAAAAAAAAAGCCAAGGTTGGAGGTTGATAAGGATTCTCTGCCCATTTGCTTACTTCTGGGCCAACTACCCCCTTTATATAGGTCATCTATGCCATCCTACTTCCTGATCCCATCGCATACTCACATAACTTATTTAGCTTCCTCCTGGAAATTGAAATTTTACTCATAAAAAACTGACCTCATTCTGGGTTTAAACCGATTCATTAATGACAGCAGAGGGATTAAAATAATCATAAAAACCAATTTTGATACTAGATTTGTGCTACAGATATTTTAGACATTGTTTCATTTAAATTAATCCTTACAAAAATAAGAGGAAGATACTATTAGCTTGTTTGCAGATGAGGAACCAAAGCTCATAGAGGTGAACTGAAGTGATGGAGTTAGGATTTGAAGTGCAGCATTTGGACTAGAGTGTGCCACTTTTCCCATTCAACTACATTTTACCTTAAAGATAAAGATGAGACTGCACTATTTTAAATCGTTTATGTTAACCTTATTAATGATCTCATGGTAGGAGTATATATTATTACAGGGAATAAGCTTTAATTTAAGTGGATGCAGTTCTGATTGATCTTAGATAATAGTCAGGAACTGGTAATGTTTATGAAGAATCAGGAAAGACCAGACTCTGTGTAAGGTGTCCTATCCCACGAAAAACCACCTTAGGAAAGCCTATACTCCTATTGTCCTTCAAGACTTTCCCTCAAACCCTGCCTCAGCCTCAGAATATGTCTTCTGGCACAGGTGAAAATGACCAGGCATCCCCCTCTAAGCTATCACGACAATGAAACAGAGCATTTAGACACAGGTTTCAACATGTAAAAACACACTATTATTAGTGCATATGAAAGACATCCTTCACCTTTATTCCTCCTCTTATTCTTACTTTATCCCACTTCTCACCCATCCTTCACAGAAACCCTATTTCTGTTTATCATTTCACCCCTCACCTTGTCTCCTTTCTTCACCCTATCCACAGGTGTGAGAAGGCCCAAAGATGGAAAAGGGATCAAGGATAAGTTGAGACAATCTGATGTTTATGTCTTAGGTAAAAGTTCATATTTAATGGTTTTTGTTTGTTTTTGTGCCTCAGGATACATGTCAAAATACTAATCAAAAATAACTGAGAAAACAACCATTTCAAAAAGTTGTGTTCCATAATTCATAAGCTCTGGTATGTTCCTTCTAAGACACTGGCACTGTAGCGTTTTTTTGGGGGGGTTATGGGACCATGGACATGATTAATTTCTTCAATAAACACTAAGGGAAAGCTGCTTTTGTGCCTATAGTTGTGCAAGTAGTGGTATAAATAGTTCAACACCATTCCTTACCTATAGAGAGTTTCCAATGTAGTGTGAGATAAGCGTTGAACAAGTAGATCTGCAGACAAATACACATTTATAGATTGCATAAATGTTTCCAAAGAAATGAATAGAGCATTTGTAGATGCTGGATGAAGCAACATGATGATGGTGGAAAAGTGGTGGTAATTGTGAAAATCTGGGAGCAGAAGATAAAACGTTGACAACCATCCATGATCTATAGCCTTTATCACATGCAGGCTTCCTCACATTTTCCCTCTCCCTTTGCTAATCGTCATGAGATCTTCCAGCTTGTTCAGGCCATATCCTACTTTTAAAGGTACTCAAAAGGGCCTATTTACTCTGATATTTTGTAGAAGTGCAGTCTTCACTCTTTGCTCTTCTTAAGGCTCAAAACCAATACTTCAAGCCCAAAGAGGACCTTATCTAGCCCCAAATTCTCACAACTTGAGCACAACTAATGTGGACGTTATTTAACATCTGTATTCCCATACTACTTCTGCTTTGGATATGGATCCACTCCAAGCTGTTGATGTCTTTCCTGTCCTTTTGTTTTATTATTCCTATGGGCCTATGGCAGGTCTCCTGGGTGGCTTAAGTTCATTGCTGCCTTTCTTTCCTGGAAAAGGCTCAACTAATATGGGACCCACATCAACAAGGAAGAAGGCTCAACCTAGTCTGCATTTAACTTTCCAAACCTATTTTAGGAGTCACCTCCATTTTCCTTTGTTTTGGCCTTATCACCTTTCAGGTTTCCCTTTGCTCAGTGCATATTTGCCTTATAACAGTAATATACTGTATTAAAATTGTTTACTCATGTGTTTCACCCTTAGACTGGGAGTTTATTGAAGGCAAATATAAGATTTGATTTATTTTGTTTTCCAAGTAACTAGCACAGGGCTTGATAAATAAAAGGTAGAACTAAATTCCAGCTGCTGTCATAATAGATTCTGTTACTTTCTCTAGCCTATAAATATTCATGCTCTTTTAACCCAGTAACTCTACTTTTATAAAAAACATTCAGGAACACCTGGGTGGCTCAGTCCATTAAGCGTCCGACTTCAGCTCACGTCATGATCTCATGGTTCATGAGTTCAAGCCCCATGTCAAGATCTGTGCTGACAGCTCAGAGCCTGTAGCTTCAGATTCTGTGTATCCCTGTCACTTTGCCCCTCTACTGCTCATGATCTCTCTCTCTCTCTCCCTCAAAAATAAACATTAAAAAATTATGAAAACATCCAAAGGAAATAATCATAAATGAAAACAGATTTATATACAAGACTTCTCATTGTAGTGTTATTTGTAGTTGTGAAAAATTGTAAGTAATCTAAATGCTCAATAGTAAAGAATCAGTTAAATGCACTGGTACTATTAATCTGTTAAAATCATGATTTTGAAAACTATCAACATGGGAAAATGTTTAAAATATGTTCAATGAAAAACTTGTTATAAAACCATTACAACAAATTAAATGTACTTTATGATCTTAAATTTGTAAAAAGCAAAATACACACACACAAATTATATATTATACAATACGAATGAAATATAGAGAAAAGGAAATTCACCAGCACCTTAAGAGTGGTATTTGGCAATTATATGTTTATTTTTTCTTTATGTTTTTATGTATATTCCAAATTATTTACCATGAATATATGTTTATGTTCAGAAAAAAAAATACTAAGTGTATGGATCCCATAACTGATTATATATCATTATGTATGATCTAATCGAAGCAGAATAAATTGGCATGGTTGACTGTCCTAGTTCTGGGCTTAGCACACATATTGATGTAGCTGGTCCCACTGAGTTGACTGGACGCCGTGTGCCACTATTGACACTAACCTAACTGTAGTGCTCATTGGTTTCTGAAGCCCCTAAGCGGTTGCTACCACATTCCAATCTTTTTCCTGTGCAGAAAATGCCTTTCTTATTTTTTTTTCAAGTGTCAACTCAACTCACTTTGAATCCTTTTTCTTTTTTCTATTCCTTGGGGGAAAGAGGGTTGGTAAAGACATCTTCCTTCTGCCTGATGCAATCTGCCTATTACCAGGCAACTAAGACTTTGGAGAGTCATGTCTTAAGATAATTCTCTTGTACAGAAAACTAAAACAAATGTAAATTAATTAATGTGGATTAATAAAATGGAAAGTGGGGAATGTAGACAAAATGAAGCCAAACAATTTTTGCATATGATTAAAAATTATTGAAATTCTGCTT